ATATTTTATTAAAATAATATTGTTCGATATTATTTTCTTTTGAAATTTTTTAGAAATTCAATTGACAAATACTTTACTAAAAAATACCATAAACTTTGTTTAAAATTTTTTTATAGTTCTAAAAAACTCAAAATAAGTAAATTATTTAAATTATGTTTTTAGTTTTGGTAGAATTATAAGTTATTATATATTTAAATTATAGTAAATATAATATAAATTTTAATTTTAAATTAAGTATTTGTGAGTAACTTATAAATAGTCATACAAACTCCAATTTAAATTTGTTTCTTTATGAAAATTGAACCTCTAATCAAATAAGTTGAGTTTGAATCAAATTTGACTCAAATAATTAATACACGAGTTACCCTGGAATTACCTTACTAAACAATTTTAAATAAAACCATGAAAACACAAAATTAGATAAAGGCTTTACGTTGAACGAAATCCTAGTTCCACCGCTGGTTTTCTTAATTATTTTATTTGAAGATTAAATAAAAAAATAAAAATTTATATATAATAGTAAAACTAAAAAAATCAAAACATTTTAATACTCAAAATATTTATCACAAACATTTATTAAATAAATTTTAAAAGAAGATTTGCACAATAAATAACTATAATAAACATTCAAAGTAAAAGACGTCTGATTTACATATTTATGATATAATAATGGATCATAAAAATAAACATTTTGATTGTTTTTAACTGTACATGCTCTAGCAATCACTAACAGAGTCCAGCTGTCTTTCCCCACTAAATGGACATGCATCATTGTGAAAGGGACGCGCAAAGACTTTTGAGACTCATCCTTTGAAAAGTCATATCAGAAATGGTTGAGACTTTTGAGGAATCATCCTTTTAAAAGCCAGAAACAGAAATAGTGGGAAACTTTACTTTACACGTCGAAAGTGTTAAAAAGTTAGGAACAGAAATAATTGCAAACTTTACTTTACACGTCGAAAGCGTTAGATAATTAGGTAAGTTCAGGCCCGTTTGTTATCGTAGTTCGGGCTAACTGTTGCTGATTTTGCTTAAAATTACGTGTTAAATAAATTTATTTATTTT